GCCCTGGAGTCGCACTTGCGAGCAGTCTTAAATTTTTCAATTGAAAAGAAGAAATAAAAAACATTTAGTCAGCACCAGACACGATAGCATAAGTAAAACATATAAAAAGACAATAAAAGTGACTGACAGTCGACGCTAACAATTGCTAGTATACATATATTTAACTTCAATTCACATTTCCACAGGATGATCCAACCGGCATCAGTCCAATCAGTGCTGAAAAGAAACCGAAGGCAACTCGCGTCAAGAAGGAGAAGGCTGAAAAACCTGAAAAGGCTGAAAAACCAGAGAAGGGAACGGGTGATGGCTTGAAACAGAGTAAACTAACATTCAAGAAGGAACCTAAGAAGGTAATGAATCTTTTTACATCTTTTTTACTTTATAAAATATGCTTTTAAAGAATTTCTGTTGTAGTTATAAAGATGTGGTAGTTCGATAAAAAACAAAACTACTAATACATAAATACATACATAACTTCTCGCCTGTCTCCCATGGGGGTAGGCAGAGACTATAGAACGTTAATTACTACGATCCAAAACTATGTATTAATAAGACACTGAAATATCAGCAAGTCAGTTATTGTGTATTAAACTGTCAAACACCAAGCGGTCACCGGTGACCGCAACCTATTGTTCTATAATTGTGTCTACAAAACCGGTACTCGACGAGTTAATTAGTGTCTTATTATTTCACTATAAACATTGATTTAGACCTCTAATTTCCTTTCTAATCATTGGAATAGGCATGTGATGACGACATCAGAGTTTTAGTATTAAATGAATGAATGCATATGTTGTATAGAAGCGCACCACGTTCAGCGGCAGTAGTTCGTCGGCGTCGGGCTCCGACGTAGAGCTGGAGGCCGCGCCCCCGCCGCCCAGGGAGCGAGCCAACGCCAGGCGCGCTGCTACTAAGGTAATGGACTACTATATTTATCACTATATCTTCATCACCAACAGTAACAGTCCACTGTTGACTTTCACATCCCTTCACATCATCACCGCCTATAAGTGCTCACTGCTGACCAAAAGCCTCTTCTCCCACGAAGAAGGTTTGAGCATTAATCACCACACTCGATCAATGCGGGTTGGCGATTTCAAACTTATATTTGGAAATTATAAGTCCAGGTTTCCTCACGATGTTTTCCTTAACCATTTGTCAGTGATGTCTGAATAATCTTAGAGAGTACTTATGACTCCGAAAAAGTCACAGTACTTTCTATTGGTAGGTTTTGAATCCTCACCCTCATGCATGAGAAGAAGTCATAGGCCACCACGACATACAGACCTCCTTCAGTCCTTTACAAAACCACTTTCCACGCTTAGTGCGGTTGAAGATTGCAGTTTAAAAGCCTCTGGTTTATAAGAGAACTCTGCTGACCCGGTTTCTGATAATCTATGTATTTCATATTGTAATCGTATTTTATAAAATCAAGGTTCATTACATAGTTTTCCATACTTATTTTTGGTGTGCAAGCGTTTGTTAACATTCCTTTATTCCTAGGTTCAAAAATACAAGGATGGTTCAGATGATTCGGAGTCAGGGTCTGAAGTGGAACTGTTGGACAACAAGATAGATTCTGACGCAGAAGCGCCGCGAGCTCTCTCAGTCAGCGATGATGATGACGATGATTTTAATGTCAAGAAGAACGCTGGCAAGAAACCTGCTGAGATGGATTCAGGTTGGTGTACACACATTTTGTGCATTTTTGGTCTATTAGCCATTGTTTTTGGGCTAGTACAGAGATTCTTCAAATTCATTGATTCATGTTGGATTAGCCTATCCGAGGTTAGTATTTTCAATGAACTACGGTTTTTTAAACATAGTTTATTTATAAAAGAATTATTAGTTTGGTTATCGAAAATTGACAGCAGCCAGATTATTTTAATCAGGCTTTCTTCGTATAAATAGGCTCAAATCTTGTTGAAAAGTAATGCAAATAATTTTGATGTGATTAACCTTTTAAATCAAATCATAATTACAGATTGCCTATTCGACTCCTTGATCGAGGACACAAAGAAAGAAGAGAAAGAGAAAGCACAAGCCAAGAACAATGGTGCCTCCCACCCAACAGTACTCTCCAGTGATGAGGAGGTGGTTCCAGAGTCTCCACCCAAGAAGAAGCCAGGACCTAAACGGAAGCTCCTTAATGAAGAGAAGAAGGAGAAACCCAAGAAACGACCAGCCAAGGACATGATCAGTGACGATGATGATGACAGCATATTTGATAGTAAAAAGGTATGTTCATAATATACGTGTAGTTGAATCACAATCAATTTTTACTTGAGTAAGTTGATTACATAAAATAAACATTTAATTCCTTACTTTTTCTACCATTACCTGTCTGCGTGTTTGGCAGCCTTCCATTCACACCCTGTAAAGAATTTTGGTCAGTTATGATCTTTATCAAATTATTCCCTGTTGGCTTCTGCTGGTTTCACCTGTGTTACTGGCATAAACGTTACCCTATGTGTATTCCAGACTATAATCAACCTTTGTACCAAATTTGATTATATTCTTTTAAGTAGTTTTTCTTTTAATGAGTTGCAAAAAATTTTCGTACACACTTTCACGTTACTCATAATTACCCCTTTTAAAAATTTAACTCCGATCCCTTCAGCCGTTTTGGCATGAAGGAGTAACGAATAAAGAAAAAAAATCGCATTTATAAAATATAAGTACAATGTTCAGCAGTAAACATAATTCTGGTATGAAGATTTAACATTGACCATTTATCTACAGGACCAAAAAAAGAAGGCAGCGCCAAAAAAGAAGCTTAAAAAGAAGGTCTCAAGTGGATCTGAATCTGATGGTGCGGGAAGCGAACCCGTACAACCGCGCGCGCAGGCACGAGCCCGGGCAGCACAGAAATACACTTTCAGTGATTCTGAGAGTGATTAACCGTAAGTATTACTTTGAAAACATAACCTAACATAAGGCCTAGTAGGGCTGATGCCCGATACGAAGCCTCGGAGGACTTACTGGGGCTCTGGCTCAAAGAGCAGAAGAAGGAACGGTGTGGTTTTTAGTTAGCAAGAGTCTGACACTCTCTCTCGGCTCACCCAAGGCGGGAGAAGTCACTGAATGATATTTTCCCCTCAAAAAAAAAAAACTTATCCTAATCCTAACCATAAGATTTGACCTAACCTAACCACAAGATTTGACCTAACCTGACCGGAAGATTTGAGCTAACCTAACCAGAAGATTTGACTTCTTGAGATATGTTATCAGATCTTGTAACATCAAGGTACTATGTGGGAACAGTGTTTTCCATTCGGCCTTTTGCCTTATACATGCATCTAATAAATATTATTCCTTGTAAAAACCCTTTTTATTATTTGATATCATTCCTAATGCAATTTACTGATCTTTATTTAGTGCGCAAATTGATAATTAATGGTTCCAATTTTTTTTGTCAAACACTCACTGTTTGTGATATTTTTAGTTATCTGTGCATATTTTTTCAGTGTGAGTCATCAATTCCTTATTTCTCATATATAATTTTCTTTATGTTATTGTTTCAGATACAGTATTGTGACAACGTGATTTTGGATCTTAAGCTTTACGGTGTAAAGTTAGAAACGGCATAACAGTTATATTTTCTTATCATTTAGTATTGACTAGGTGGTAAACACTTTATTTTTATACACTCTGGCAGTATATGCAGTCTGGGACTGATCTGAGAAATACCTTGTAACATGCGACTTGTTGCGTAACATTGTTGTCGCAACACTATCTGTCACTATGACAATACAACGTTATACATTGCGTTTTTCGTTTCCAACTTTGATCTTCCAAATCAATATATCGCGTAATGTACATCGTCGATTTGTCAATATGTCAGCGTCTGTCATAATAGTGTTTCGCAAGGGATGTCGCAACGTTTTAAATAAATAGTTATTTATAATTTTAGACCCAATTAGTTTGTAATTAGGTAAATAATTGTCTGTCACATTCATGCTCAAAGACAGGAAATTTGGAATTTTTTATAGTAGATTTTTGAGCAACTGATAATTATAGATTTTTTATGACAAATTGTAAATAATTGTAATGTAACAAGGAAATTCCAGTGTTTCTTCTTTACTTCTTTATTCCTTCTGTTTTTCTTTATCTTTAGTATTTTAGAGACTATGACATGCCTATTTATAATAAATTCTTTTTTGTTTAAGATGAATATTTTTCATCGTAATATTTCATTATGGGCAACACTATGAAATTTAGTTTAATTGTTACTTCTTTATTTTTACGTTACAAATGTAATTTCTCAATATAATTTGTTAATTTTAACAATTGTAAATAAATGAACAATTTCACCAAACTTGTGTATTATTTTTGTACAAATCCCATCTAAAATAAAAATCAAAATATCTCAAAAACTAGAGGTCTAGCCAAAAAAATTATCGAATTTTTTAATCCACCACCTTTTTAGACCACACCCCTTGACAAGAAACATTTTCTAATTGATGGATAGGGGTACAATGACTAGATGTAATTAGCCCATCTAACCCTCTGAATACTGAAACCTAACCTACAGTATAGACGTTGGGACCTGCACGGGTCTGGTCGGATCATGGGTACCGCGCGTTGTTTTTAAAGAGCCAGACCTCAGACCACCATAGATGACCCAATAAGGCTGGTGCCTGATATGATGCAGCAGAAAAACTAACGGGTTGCCGAGGTTCCGACTCGAAGAGCAGGAGTAGTTTTCACTGCGAGAGGACACTGATCATTCGGAGTTAGAGAGATGCACCTACCTGAATGTACGAAATCTCGAAGAGTTCGAAAATTGTTTTCTTCGGACCTTCCAGCAGAATTATAAGAATTATAAGTAGCTTGGTACTCTTGCCAAGGTCACTCACCACCCTGTCTGTTAATCAGCAACTGTCATTACGGGGTCAAAAGGCTGTACCAAAAGTTCAGTGTTATTATTTTTTAAACATACAACCTCATTAGGTGAGGAAATCGATGCAATAAGGGTGGAAATAAAACAAATATTTTGTTACACTTTATACAAAATTATTTATTTCATCTAGGTATTTAAAATATATTTTAATTTCGGCGATTAAAGTCAGGTTAGATGTTTACATTCTAAAAATTATAGTACACTGGACAGGGAAGGATTGCACCGTGGACAGACATATTTCCAAAAGATTAAGAGATAAATACGCACACAATTTTTACAAGTACAATAATTGTAATTTCTTTGTTTCATTTTCAATAAAAAGGTACCTAAACATACTTTTATTAAAGATACATCGTGTACGGTGCAAAACTTCTACGTGTAAATTAATGTACTTTTTGAGTGTACTTCTTTTACATAATTTTACGTACAATTCCTTCGATATGACCACTTCTGTTACATTGCGCACTGCGTTCATTAAATTCATCAAGTTATGCGCAGCAGCGGCCATATTGTTTTGGCGGGAAGCGGAAATTTTACGTTGTTATTCACAAATATTATATTTTTTATATTCCATGTTCCCTAACTTACACTAAACACTCTACATTAACGGGTAAATTAATATGGCATTTAATTCTGAGTGTTTTTATGCTTAATTCATATTATTTACATTAAATTAAAATCTTTCATATAATCTATAAAGATAAGTACAAATTGTTACTACACATTAACTAAATAATCACTCTAAACTAATAAATATATCTTTAATGGTTTATTGACAACATTTTAATAACATTAGTAGATATTTTTAATATATAGATTTGTGGATAGACAGACAGACATTTATTAGCTTACTGAAAAAACAGGCTATCATTTCAATAATGAACAACTTTTATGTAGGTACAATTTTACGAGTTTAAAGACAAAAAGATGCGCAATCAGATAAATATTATTCATGGTACAAAACACAATATCAAAGATATCTAATAACAACTGTGAGAAAACCAACAATATACAATTTTTCTACTCATACTGTGTGAAGTTTTAATTTAAACGACTCCATTAATTTTAACTGACGAAAAATCCTTTTTATAGGTCTGAAAATTGGTTGTAAAAATGATGACTGAGTCTTTCAAAGCGCTATTTACATTACAATTTACAAAACAAGGAAAACCAATGTAAACACCACTTCATCATACATTTCTGAGTTAATTAAAAACCGGGTAAAAGGAATATGAAGATGGTCAGTACCTACTAAGTTTACTTTCTCTGTCTGAGTAACCCTTTGCGCTTTCTCTATCAGAATATTTACCATTATATTTATTATTATATCTGTCGCTGTGTCCATTCTTAACGTATTGCTTTTCGCTAGCACTATAATGGATCTCAGACGGTCCTATAGTCTTCGACCAGTGGTGTGTCCAGTAGAAGTCATCTGGGTACCGTGGGTACGGGTTTTCTCGGCATAGCACGACGCAATATATCAGGCTGCCCAGGAGTGTTAGGAAACCGAAGATTAGGAAGACTATGCCTAGAATCCTGGAAGTGAAAAGAATAAATATTAGTACGAATTTGATTGAACTGGTATGATGTTATCATGTATCGATTTTGGGAGTTTAAAGCCTAAGCCGCCGACCACATAATAAGACAGTAAAATTTTCACGTAAAATGATACCACATTCTCACAGAAAACCGAATGAAACAACGCGTTGTATTTGTGTGAGTAAGGTTACCGGGAACCCAATTCCATCCTCTCAAAAAGGCGCCCGAGGTCTAAGTAATCTGCATAAATAAATGGTAAAGAAAACTTAAAGATAAATCTTACCATACAAACAATGGTTCGAAGAACTGCAGTACGATGACAAAACCCAGCGTGACGAGTATGAGGCCCAGGTTCAGCAGCAGCATGAGGCAACACATGCCTTTCACGTTAGGACAGAATGGGTTCGGAGCTGCCATCGCGTCTACCTTCACTCCGGCCTGGAACCGATAATACGATAGGTATCTTAGAAGTCCATAATAGTTACAAAGCCTATGTCTACTCTTAGGTCAATTGGTCGCTAATGTGGGCATCGTACAAGGGGTATCAGATATGATTCCATGGTTAGGCAAGGTATTATTGAAGATTTTTCAGTTTTTCAGCAATAGACCGAAATCTAGAGTATAGCTTACCCACCACGCACCATTATTTAGTTCCTATGAAAGATAGGATCAAGTTGTATTCATTCGCTAAATATATTTTCATCATTAGCTAGAAATCGCAGGTTACTCACGTGAAAATACTGAGAAAAGCTCTAATAGTTTCGAGCCACAGAAAAGAAAAGTAAAGGTTCTCTTCTAGGTTCGAAACTATTAGAGCTGCGATTTCTAGTTAATTTAGTACCTATGTCTCATTATGTCTTAGGATAGTTATTATAAAAAATATTTTCATCAGTGTTTTCACGTAAAAGAAAGAAAGAAAGAAAAGCCATTTATTTCTGCGCAAAACACACATAACATATTTAAAAAATAAAAAAGAAAATAAAAAAAAGCTAAAAAATTAAAATGAAGTGAGATCTTGTCCATGGTCCACAGACTTATTATTTTACTGAAATGATAGAATATTTAATATCTAATATTATCTGTGGACCATAGACAAGGAAACACCCTACTTACTTCATATATATAATAATAATTTCTAGTTGCATGCATTTATTAAAAATGACATGGGTAGTCATACCTTTCTGGAAACTTTGGATCTGTGTGTAGAGGCGACAGAGGGAGCAACTGCGCTTCGGTACGAGTACACGCTGCGAGGTGCCCGGGACTGCCGGCTGTAATGAAGAGATTATTTAATTTTGGAAGAACTCCATCGGTAATTAGACGTAAAGTGAACTATATAGGTATATCAACAATCCTTTTATTACATAGAACCTTATGCAATAGTCCGCTTTTTAGAACTCTATCATTTTCATAACGTCTCTCTATTATTGGTATTCCGTAACCAATTTCAAGTCCTCTCTTTTTTCTAACTGAACCATCAAAACGAGGTTTTTATGCCCCATAATCACCATTATTCGACAAAAACCATACATCAACGTATTATTTCTTATTATAACAGCTCAATCCGTGACAGGGACATTAGTTCCACAGCGCTGTGTGTATCCAAGCCGGTGCGCACGCGCATCGTCTCGCTCTTAATCTAAGCGCACGTATGTCACGACGACCACTTGTTGAAGCGTGCAATATGGTCTTTAGCTGTTATTATTGAACTCTGGTTAGACTAGTTAAAGTATGTCGTGTGATTCTCTAATATATATATATATATATGGTGACTACGATTATCACATATTTCGAGGAAGGAAATGGTCACATATTTCCTTAGGTATCTAGGAATAAAATCTACAGAAATCGTTAAGAAAAAGGAGGCTTGAAACAACGACTGTGGCACCTGGCTACTATAGACTTCCACGCAGAATACACACACATTGATACGAAGGGCATCTGTCGCGTGACGTGGCCCGTCATTACACTTCACACATTACGGTGTTGTAAGTATACGCACACATAAATACACCACTGACATTTTGGTGCTTCAATCATCCTCAAAAGACATTACGTCCGCCTTTGTTTTAACGACCTTGACAGAAATACTGAAGAATTGAGATCTATTGAAAAACGTCCAAATTAAAAGTAGGTACCCTTAAGCTCTCAATTGAGGAGCGTGCATAGACATTGGTTAGAATAGTCTGTATTATTATTTTTATGTTAATTCATTGACA